TGACCATCCTGTCAGGGCCCTTGGCCCAGGAGGAGGAGCACTCGGGGCTAAGACACCGCCTACAAGCCGGTTCTGCCTCACGATTAGGTCTTCCCAGCACACGTGCCGGCAGCTACCAGGTCACTCTGAAGTGCCCGGTGTTGAGGGTGGGGTCCCCTAGTGAGGGGAACTGGCTTTGGAGGCAGGTGGATGCAAATCCAGGCTTTGCTGTCACTGCCTGAGACTGCAGGCAGGTGACCTAGCAGCACACGTGGCCAGCCAGCAGCCGGTTCTTCCTGCCTCCTTGGCTGGCAGGAGTGCCTCCCAGTGGAGTCTGTGCAGGGGGATGGGAGGGGGTGTCTGCTGCGGGGCTTGCAGAGTAAACTCAGTCTCAGGGTACAGCTCGGGGCATTGCGAAATGTGTATGCACACCCCAGGTGTCCTTTCCTGAGGGACCTTGAGCCTCCACTCCCTTGTTCGAGGTGCATGTCTTGGGGACTTTGTCTTGTTCGTTGATGTGTCCACAGGGCCTGGAGCGCAGTAAACACTAGAGGAATGTTTCCTAAGTGAATTTAGGTCTCATGCCTTTGGCATAGCTGGGGCAGGGGGTGGCGGGGCATGTGGAAGAGGGGCCCTACCCTCCTTTGTCTTTTGTGGCAGGAAACAGGGCTTTGCGCCCCTTGGCTTGGGGCTCTTCCCACCACGCACCGTACACGGTTTCTGAATCTGGGTGTCAGTGGTCATGGTCAGACTGTGTTCTGGAGGATCCTCCAGGGTGCCTTGAGTCTGAGTGTCACGACTGTCACAGGCGTTCTGTCTCTCGTTTGACTAAGCTTCTTCGAAGTGGTAGTGTTAAAGAAAAACATCACTCTGACAACTTGCTGAGACAGTGAGAAAGACCTCAGTCAAGACTTGCATGGGGAAATTGACAGTCTCTGGTAGAGTGAAGGTCAGTGAGAGTCAGGGTTGGGTGGGGATTACTCTGATCATCAGGGTAATCAGATTTCAAGGGTGGGATTTTCTGTGAAACTGACTGAGCAGGAATCTTGCTGAAATTGGTGGGGATGAACTTGGCATTCAAGGTGGAGGCCTGTGGGCAGGAGGGCCTAGGACCCTGACTGAAGTGTGGTCAAGGAGAGCATCTGGGTCAGTAGTCCCAGAGTCCTGTATGGAGGCCGTGTGGGGCCTGGGCACAGTCTGAGTGCGGCCACCCTTGGTTTACCTGCTCCCCTGGTTGGCTGCACATTCACGAGTTCCTGGTAGTTGTGAGCATGGCTGTGTCTGTGCACTGGCCCAGGACACGTGTTCATCTCTTGGAATTTTCAGTCCCTCTTGTCACCCTGCTGTGTTGAAAGGTCCCTGTAAGTTCCTGTTTTTAGGTAGGTTAGCAGAGAGGAGGGGAGAGAGTCCGTGCCAGCATATGTTACCCCTGAGAGAACAGTCACCGGAAACTCAGAAATGAAGCAAGGGAACAAGAGGACTGTGTGTTTGTTGCTGAATCCTGGGCCCTTGTTTAAGAGATTCACCCAAGATTATCCAGTTTTCTAACAGAGTGTACCTCCCTGTTTTACTTTGCTGTTTACTCATGATTAGAGCCCAAGCACTGTGATACATGTTAATTTGTAGACTTTGTCTTGTGGAGACGAATTATTCCTGTCTGGTAAAGTTATATCCCAAGGTTATGGTTTTATTGCTCTGTAAGACATTAACATGATTTGTCTCCAGTTTACAAAAGGTCATTTTGGTCAGCCAGCTCTTCACATGCGCTCTCGACCAGCTTTCCATCTTACAGCCCCCTCATTAACTTATGCTTGCTGAACATTCTGCTTTGACACTGGTGGGGTGGTGGGTGTGCCTGAGGTGGCCACAACTGCTGGTACTGATTGTCCTGCAAACACTGCTCCCCAGGGGAGGTGTGCCCTGGGCTGGCCCTGGTCCACTGTCCCTGTGTCCAGAGTGACTCAGCCCTTCTCTCTGGCAGGCGATGTGCATGTGTTTTTGCTGAAGCCTGCCTCTCGCCCTTTCTCCAGGGGTTTGTTGATTGAGAGATTGTGGTAAAGGACCTTCTGTCTGGGTTTCTCTTTGCCCTTCTCTCCACGTCCTCATTCCCTGGTAGCTCGGTAGGCAGGGATGGGTCTAGTGTGAGGAGAGTGAGCCATTCCTGGGCGTGCGGCCACTGCCAGTGCTACAGGCCCCAGCCATACTTGTGTGCCTGCGGCTGTGCCTTCATGGGCCTCCTACACTGATGCCTCTTCCCATGCCAGTTTGTCAGCTCCTTGAGGGCAGACGGTTCTTTGTCCTCTTTCTTTGCCCGCAGTTGATTCCCAATTTCTCTTTATACACCTGCCCTTTGATGCCTTCATTCATTCATAAATAACTTGCTAGGCCCCTCACATGCCAGACACTGTGCTGGGTGCTAGGACGTGACAGAGAGTGGTGTCATTGCCCTGAGTCCCACATCAAAGTGGGTGACCCCCCCCCAGACTGTATTTTGGACAGTAGGGCTCCTGCCTAAAGAGACATAACTTTTGTTTTCTTTCTGAACAATTATCTAGATAAGGAAAATTTCCTGTGTAACTTGCAGGTGTGATAAGTGAAATATTATGTAAGTATATAATTTTATAGTGTATGTTTATATAATATATAATATATAACATGTATGTGTTTGTGATCATCTTAAAAATTACCTTTAGAGAATGTAAAACCTCAGTATATGCTCTTGCACTAAAAGGCTTAAAAAGCCAGAGGAAAATTTAAAAAGGTAATGCCACAGAATTTGTCTTTTTAAGCATTTTATTTCACACCACACTAACTGCGTTGATGGTGGGCTGTGTGAGTATTTGATGCTGTGAGGAGCTGAGATATCAGAAGGCATCCTCTGTTGCCCCGAGTTCCCAAATCTTTGCCTGTCCGAATTTTTCTTTGTAGATGCCATAGAAGAGGGCATTGTGACGTAACATTCCTGAGGTAATTTGTGATTCAGGCTGTGAGGAACTGGCAGTGTGAAAGGCAGGAAAAACAGTACATGTTTTAAAAATAGTGAGCTTTTCACTACTGGGGTAAGAAAAAGGAGGAAAAACATTTGAATAAAATCAAAGCGGAGGCTGAGCCCAACTTCTTGCAAAATAAAGAGGAGAGTGTTTCAAGAAACTCAGTGTTGTCACTTGCAGTTTTAGTAGAAAAACGCTTGAAACAAAAATGTCTTTTTATCGTGAGGGAAGGCAGCCAACACAACTGTGGCAGAGCCGCTGGGCAAAACGGGCCCAGGTCTGCGGGGCTGGGCGTGCAGGCCGGCTCCGTGGTGGGAGGGCCCCGTGCGGAGAGGAGCAGGGCTCCACTCAGCACGGAACCAGTCAGGAAACAGTCAGGCTCCACGTGGCTGAGAGGTACCTTGAGTCCACTCAGCGTCCACAAACATTGCTGCTTTTTTTTTTTTAATCCATTTTGGTTTTTTGTCTTTTCTGACAGCCCTCTGCATTCTGACACATATCCCCTTTGCAAACCATGCCCAGAGGGCCCAACTGGAGAACGGCCTTGTGGTTGAGATCATGTTATGAAGTCCACTTTCTGCTTCCGAAACACATCTTCCTTGGTAATGTTCCCAAGATAAACCCAACACTAGTAATAGGCCTACAGTGGTTTGGGGGGTATGGATTTGTATATTCCATTACATGTAATAATTTAATGAGCACACCTCTCTAAATTTCAACATAAATGCTCTTTATGTCCACTCAATTTTTGTATTTTTTAAAAATTATTTTTGGCTGCCAAACAGATAACTTCAAAATCTACTATTAGGGGTCAGTGTCATTAACAGGGAGTACAGTCTTAAAAGGTAATCTGCAGGGGTGCCTTTGCTCGACCATAGTTTATTTACAATTTCTTCATTTGTGAAGTAGAGCTTATAGTTTTTTACCCACAGGGCTGTCTTAAAGATTGGAGATCGTGTGCATTCAGTGCCAGCTCTGTCTGGTAGGAGGTGGGCTCACTTGGTAGCTGGTGGCTGCCTTCAGTCTTCAGCCTGGGGAAGGCACCGTTCTTGCACTGCTGTTTGCATAATGGGGTTTTTTTGTTTTGTTGTAACAGGACATGAAGCCCTGATGACTCCTAAAGAAAATCAGTGAAAAGAATAGGCCATTAAGATAAAGGCTTCTGATCGCTGATGGATGTTATTACCTGTATTATGTCTTTTATTACACGTGAGGACATCCTCCTTATTGTGTAACAGGCTCTGCCTAGATTCTCCCCAGATCTAAACTCTTGTTTATTTTTACATTTTAGAATGGGTGGTTTTCCATTCAAAGTCAGTCAGTGACCATCTCAAATGTTGTGGACATTTTCATGTAGTTTTCTTTTTAACATGTTTACTGAGATGTATTTGACACTCAGGAAAGAATACATACGTACAGTGAACAGTTTGAAATGTTTAGCACGTATTCACCCATGAAACCATCCCCACAACCAAGGTAGCGAACATGTGTACCGCCCCGTCTCCACCAATTCCTGCCCGCCCTACCCGACAGCCCTGGTCTCTGCCCTGCAGTCAGCTCAGCGCTCAGTGAGGTGCCCACTTTACATGAATGGACTCATACAGAGTGGACTCATACTCGTCCGACTTCTTTCACTCTGCAAGGTTATTTTGAAAAACATCCATGTTGCATGTATCAATCTGTGTTTTAGTTTTGCTGAAATTAGCTTCAGTTTGAGCTCCTAGATGGGGAGTATTACTTCTTTGAAACTGTTAACCTGTTTTTGAATTTTATTGAGGAATGATAACCTCTGTGAAGCTCTTAAGAGAGTGCTGGGCCGTGTTGTCCTGTGAAGTCCACTTAGTCACCTCACATGTAGGTGACGTCCCTGGTGTGTGTCCACGGAAGACTCTTCAGGCTCCTGGCCAGCAGCGTGCGCCATAACATGCTGGAGACAGAGACTGAATGTCAAATACTGTCTGGGGTTTGCTTTGAAAGTTGCTGTAAGTGTCACAGTAGCTCCATAATTACTAATTTCCTTTCCTTTCCATGCCCGTCCAGGAGTTTCATTATGGGCGTGAGAGGCTTGCAGGGGTTTGTGGGAAGTAGCTGCCCACATGTCTGCACTGCAGTAAACTTCAAAGAGCTGGCAGAGCGCCACCGGAGCGAGCACCCCGGATGCACTCCCACCGTCGTGGTGGACGCCATGTGTTGCCTCAGATACTGGTACACGCCAGACTCTTGGATCTGTGGTGGCCAATGGCGAGAGTACTTTTCCTCTTTGCGAGAATTTGTGAAAACTTTTACAACTGCTGGCATCAAGTTGATATTCTTCTTTGATGGCATGGTGGAACAGAACAAGAGAGATGAGTGGGTGAAACGAAGACTCAAGAACAACAGGGAGATAGCCAGGATTTTCCATTACGTCAAGTCCCGCAAGGAGCAGCCTGGCAGGAACATGTTCTTTATCCCCTCGGGGCTGGCCATATTTACGCGGTTTGCTCTGAAGACCCTGGGTCAGGAGACTCTGTGTTCATTACAGGAGGCCGACTACGAGGTGGCTTCCTATGGCCTCCAGAACCACTGTCTCGGGATTCTTGGAGAGGACACAGACTACTTAATTTACGACACCTGTCCCTACTTCTCAATCAGCGAGCTGTGCCTGGAGAGCCTGGACACCATCATGCTGTGCCGGGAGAAGCTCTGCCAGAGCCTGGGGCTCAGCCTGTGCGACCTGCCTCTCCTGGCCTGCCTGCTGGGCAACGACATCATCCCGGAGGGCATGTTTGAAAGCTTTCGCTACAAGTGCTTGTCTTCCTACACCTCCATCAGAGAGAACTTCGACAAAAAAGGTAACATCATCTTAGCTGTAGCAGACCACATTTCTAAAGTTCTTCACTTGCATCAAGGTGAGAAAAAACTAGAAGAGATGTTACCTTTGGGACCAAACAGAGCTCTTTTCTACAAAGGAGTTGCATCGTATATTTTGCCAGGACAGAAATCTCCATGGTTTTTCCAGAAACCTAAAGGTGTAGTAACTTTGAACAAGCAGGTAGTATCCATGTGTACAGACCCTGACTCCAATCAGAAATTATTTACCGGTACAGACTCTGAATTTAACCTAGAAGCACCCACGTGTACAGACCCTGACTCCAAGCAAGAAGCTCCCATGTGTACACACCCTGAAATTCAACAAGAAGACCCCATAGATACGGAGCCTGAAATCAAGCAACAAGTAACCATGGTTTCAGATCCTGAAATCTTAAAGGTATGTAGGTGTGCCCACCCAAATCTAAGATGCCATGATTGAAGACGTATCCATTGATGGATTTGTCAGTGAATATTTATTGATGACCTGCAAGGTTGAGACACTGTGGTAGACACAGAACAGAGCCCTGGGAATGTGGCCAGGAAGTATGACTTCATATTGGTGAAAACTCACCTGGTGAACTGTTCTGCATTGTTGCTGGATTGTTAAGGGGAGAGGGCTGTTGTTGTGGAGGGTGAGGTCACCGTGGGCTGGGTTACAGAGAGACATTCCCAGAAGATGGTGAGCTGGAGCCATACCTCATGGGGCCTGAGATTTGCTTCAGAGGGCACAGGCTCAGGGCTGTGGGAACGCTGAAGGTGTGGCGTTTGGAACCTATGTCACTGGGGACAAGGGCCAAATAGTAGGTGGGAGCATGGAGTCTGAAGGGACAAGTAGGGAGAAAAAAATGGAAAAGACAGACCACGGCCAGATTGTGAAGACTATTAAATGCCATGCTGGGAGTTTGGATATAATCCTGAAGGGAAGGTAGAGCCTCAGGTTTTGACGGAGCCCCTGCCGAATAGCCAGCTGTTGCGCGCAGGTTCCGGCTGGGTGCACTTCGTGTGTTGTCTCCTTTAACCTGCTCGCTGTCCTTGGGTTAGAGAGAAGGTGCGTGTCCACATGACTGTCCATCTCAGCAAGTGCGCAGCCACTCATGCCCTAACCCACAGACTTTCCGTTGTTCCTGGCTTTCATCTAGTTACCCAAATTACAAATCTAGGAACCATGTCTCCTGTCTTGTTGCTCTGATCTCTTCAGTGGCTCTTACACTTGTGTGGATTACTGTGGTCACCTCTGAGAGCTCTTCCTAAACAGGCTTTTGCCTGTTGCAGTCCGTCTGTCATGCTGCGTGCAGAATTCAAGCCCTTCATTTGCACTTCACAGCTCAGGAGGGAGTCCCCCATGGCAGCTGCCTGGCACTCCCTGCAGCCCCAGCTCTGTCTGCCCCTCACCTTGTCCAGGCCTTGCATGCACTCTCTTCCCCTCAGTGGCTTTCTGCCCCTCCTGCTAGTTAGTGCCGGCTGGCTCTTCTCTCACACACTCAGAGGAGCCCCGACTGCCCACCATGTGTGTCTGACATTTACAGCACACCTCCCTGGAGCTCCATGTTTGATTCTTGTCTTTCCTGCTAGACTAGGGCCGCTCTGCAAGGCCGGAGCTGTCTCTCCTTGTCACTGCCCAGCCCTGGTCCTGTCACACTGTCTGTCTTGTAGTGGCCTCAGGTTAGATCTCGGGGGGTGTTCCTGGCTCTGGCATCTTTAGATTCTCTTCTCAATGACGTCCTCCCTCCCTTTGCACAGCTGCAAGGATTCTTCTTTCTGAATTAGCCTTTCATCTCTTTCTCTGTTCCATACGTTGTAGCAGACGAGCCACTTAACTGACATAGGAACTTGCAGAAGAGGTAGAATGTGACTCATGTTTTGAGAGAGTTACAGGTGAAAAAGTCTTATCAAGTGAAGAAATTATTCCACCTGGAAGCATTCTTAACTGCTTCTTAGGAGGAAAAGAATCTGGGTGTGAAGGTGGAGGAAGGTTAGCAGTGGACCTCTGTGGGGACATCCTGACAGGTGGTAGGAAACAGCAGACAGGACAGTGGGGGAGGAGGGAGGAGGTGGGTGCCGGCAGAGAACCAGGGGTTGTCTTTGTAGGAGAGGGGAAAGGGGTGCAGAGAATGGATGGAGGAGGACCAGTCTGGACTTGGCCCACGTGTGTTCAGTGTTGCTGTGCAGGTAGGGGAGGAGCATTAGTTTAGTATTGACCGCACAGAGACGGCTCTCCAGCAGCACAGCTTTCTGAAGAAGTTTGTAATCTTCAAAGGGCTTTCCTCACGTTGTCTCCTATAGGCATCACACAGCTCCATGCCCTTGTCTCCTCTCACATGAGGACAGAGGAGTGAAAAGATCAAGTGACATTGTCTGCAGTCCCACAACTAGTACTTGGCAGACCCCGGCTTTAAACCCAAGCCTGTGATGCTTTACGAGACCACAGCCGTCTTCCCTGCTGGCCCAGGAGTTCACTGGCACGTGGGGAGGCAGCACGCCGTGTCAGCAGTCTGGGAGCAGGAGAGTGAAGACCACCCTGCCCCCGGTCTTACCTGACGCAGTACTCACAGCCTCTGTAGCCGTCTGCTTGAAGGACAGGCCGTGGAAGGGCGCCCCAGGCGGGGGCACTGGCAGAGCTGGGGAGGCAGGCAGGGCGGCTCTGGCAGCAGGTGGGCAGGGTCTGCTCTTCAGCCAGCCCAGGACTTACTGGCCTCACAAACCCATCAGTCACTTGCCACATTCATAGCACCACACAGGCCCTCTCTGCTCATTTCTGGGCACTTCCTGGCTGGGCGCTTGCTCGTGACCTCTGCCTGCATGCGCCACACCCACCCGCCGTCCCCACCTGGGCTGTTGTCTTGCCCAGGCTCCTGCAGGGCAAGTTCTGACAGGTTAGGTCCGACCACGGGTGGCACGTGCAGTTGGGGAGAGCTTAGGACTTGGTTTTCATGCTCGTTGAGGAGCTATTGGGTGGCTTTAGTTAAGCAGAGGTATGATGAGGTCAGGTGTTTGTGTTTGAAACGTCGTGCGCACTGCGGAGAATGGGCTAATGGGGCTGTTGCAGAAACCCAGGTACAGACAGAGGAGCTGGGACCAGGAAAGTGGCGGCGGGACTAGAGCAGAAGCAGCAGACTCAGCAGTGTTTCGGGAGTGACGCTGGTGCACGGCAAGCCTTGCTGTGGAGGTGAGCTCCCCTGTGCTCAGGCCTGGGCCAGGGGGGCTGCCATGAGCCGCACAGGAGGAGGAGGGCTTCCCAGGGACCACCTGATGGTTAGGGTTAGGTGGGCCGGGTCTGCTGCTGGAGATGTGGTGCCAAGAGGTAGAAGTCTCGGGAAGTCGTCTGCCGTCTGTGGAATGGGAGCCTCTCAAGCAGGAGAAATGATGCACTGAGGAGTGAGGGGTGGTCAGGGGGATGGGAGAATGAGGTGAGAACCACCCCAACAAAAGCCCAAGAAGGCAGGTTTGAGACTGAAGAACCGGGCAGGGTGTCCAGTGCTGCGGAGGAACTGAGACTGGACTGGGAGTGGGGCAGGAGGTGTGGGTGGCCTTGGAGAGCTGTTGTCGCCGGGGGCCTGGAGGAGGTCAGGTGATAGGGGTTTCGGGAGCAGTCTGGGGGCAGAAAAGGCAGGAGCTGGGATGGGGTTGCTCTTTCAGGGAGTTTGGCAGAAAGAGCCTGGCTGGGAAGAGGCTGTCTGTGGCGAAAGGGGGGCGGGCTGTGATGGCGGCCGTGTGCTGTCCCACGGTCGCATTTGCTGAACTTTGTGATATCTTTGGGAACAACTTTGGAGTTTCTTAAGTTCCCCTGAAATTTTTCCTTTTAAATTTTTCTCCTTGGAGCCTTCTAGCCACGTTAGTAGGTCACCAGAATGTATGTATTTTGACCATACATGGTCTCCTCAGAAATCCTTAGGGGCAGAGCAGCTGGATGCAGCGGTGACTGGGGCAGTGCCCGCAGCCGTTGGTGTCTCCTCCAGAGTTACTGGCTAGGATGCGTTGAATACTCGCTTTAAAATGTTCAGATGAGGTGAATATGTTAAGATTTTTCCAAGTGTAGATTTGTGTACAATACTTGCAGTTAAGCACAGAGGTAAAATGTGCTGAGATGACGAGC